GATGACGACTGATGTTGAAACCGAGTGGCAGCTGTTTGAGAGGCCTACTCGAGGCTGCCGCCGAATGCTGTGGACATAAACAGGTTGGCCTGCCGCCTGGAGGTCAGCAAAGATCTTCATGGTGGACACGAGAGGTACAGCTGGCAGTTAAAAAAATGCAACATTCAACAAATGGCTGTGCACAGAAGTCGGTGATCGATTTGATAATCGTATCGTCTGCGGTAGCGTGTCGATTCCCTCTTCTGAACTAGAGTTGTAAAAATTCGTAAACAATGTTTATCACTCCTGCTAGCTGATCAGAAGTACTTATAAAAATAAGTTGGTGCTCTTCTACCTTCCTAGAGGTCGCCGATGACCATTTAGTATTGAACCATTTAGTGTTGAGCATGGGCTTTCGTTTAACGTGCGAGAGCGATCACAAGGACAAAGAGACAAATTATTCGAAGCGCATATAATGTGAGGCCACTTAGGATATTCTACTTGTTTCCGATGTAAATTGAAAGGTAGTTTTTCTTATTTCATTCCTTCGCGGCACGAAATGTAACGTGTTTGATGGTACGTAAGATAGCAACAGCAAAATCCACATATGGTGTAGATCTGACAATTCCTAGTGTAACTTGTTCCTCATATCTCGTGAAGGTTCGAGGAGACCAAATTTTAATCATGCTTTCTTTAAAGTAAGTAGATCATTGTTGTGTGCTATGCTAGCCCGCTAAATTGAACGCGTTCTTACTTTCCCATTGTTTTCTGTCTATGATTTCCGAATGGCGAAAGTATACGTCGTTACGTTTACACAGAAAACAGCCATGGATTTCAATGTGCTTTGAAATTCTAGAAAACTAATCAGCACTAAATGAACATCATTTGCACTATTAGCCTCGCGTAAAGTAGACATGTACAAATGATTTATATTGTCTGTTGTTTTGAGACAAGATAACAGTAGCTAAGATGCATTTTATTTTTTGCGCTTGTACAAAATATGAGAACTACGAAGAAATGCAATTAAAGATTTTGTTTCTAGGAACGGCGCACTGTGCGAACATGTACCCGGCTAATGCGAACGACCCTCCAGAGCTGGTTGCTGCAAGAAAACAAATCACTTCAGTGATTGCACAGTGGCTAAGCCAGTCTTCTTCATAAGCATATAACGGCATTTATACAAGTTGGACGATGTAATCTGTTAATCCGTTTAAACTTAAGATATGTAAATCAACGTGTTTAATGATGGAAGAATCGAAATTAATGACATTGCGCAGGAGACGCTTTGCTGAATGTTGTTACGCGAAGCTGCTCTTGTTTCGTTGCATGGAACGCTAATTCAAAGAGCGAGAATAAATAACGAAGCATTATAATTCAAATGTTTGGGTATCAGAAACGCAGGAATGAGGAAGAGCAACTGAAGAAGCGCAGATATGATAAGCTCCAAAGTTACAAAGGAAGATAATGAAAATACTTTACCAGTATGTTACTATCAATTTTGCACTCGTAAATAGTAGGTATGAGAGACTAGGAATGACTGGCGCGCTTGATTTTCAGGTTTTTGACATCACAGCCAAATGCGCTATCTTAGTTAATAAACCTAACAGTAACCGTTAGCTTACAAAGGAGTAAATCATCACAAACTAAATGTAGAATAAACGCATCGATAATGAAGAACAGACGCTTTTTTCTAGACGAAGGATACATTTCGAGAAGACTTAAAGTCATTATTCTTCGTGAATTCTTAGTAGCTACTTTAATCAAACTTTTGAAGCCTAATCTACTGATATGATGATAAACGAAATAGTCATAATTCAGAATCAAATCAATAACAGCAGTTAATGTTTTGTTAACACTAGTCAGTCCGTTTCGATGACCGCTCATCCTTTTGGATAGAAGTGGCAAATGCGTTAGAAAGTGTTTCCAACGTTCCCAGCCTTCAGTGTCGGCACAAAATAACTTAAGTCTGGAGCAGAATTCTTCGATAAACTTGCCCCTATATTATTCTTGGCCAAGGGGTCTTCAGTCGTTGGTTAAGAAAGTACTAGCTGTTTCATCTGCCCTAATGGAAGCATTTGTAAGACCTGAACCATCGCAGCTAAGACTTTCGATTTGAAGAAACAACGGCTGCACACTGCCTCTGACGAATATTTGAACTCCAGGCCATATAAAGAACGCGAGACCCGGCGATGCATTACAGTAAGTCCATTGCAGCTGCTTCTATTAGAGATCAAAGTTTCTCTGTCTTGCCAAGAGGTGAGCATGGGGATGAAGATCGACTTGAATATAAACAACATAGCCTTTAAACTCATCTTTGCTTTAGTCACAACTAAATATCGCCCCTCTGCGGTTACGGCTAGTTCAAGCAGAGAGCTGCTGGCCATTCCAATTCGCCAAACCCATCACTGGTAAAAACAGTCCTGTGGTAGTCGAATTTCTTCACCTGCTTCACTGTCCCTCCGTTTATCTGAAGAGAACAACGGGCAGAACGAGAAAGCACTAGGCTTTTCCTTTTACATACATTCACACGCAAGCCGGTCGCGTCGCATTCGA